AGGTGCGGGCTCAACACCGAGGGTTCCGATCCCGTTGCTAGTCCCGGTCCGGTACGGGCGCGACACTGAGGGTTGCGAACCGTTGCCGGACACGAAAAAAGACAAAAAAGGAAAAAAAAAAAAAAATCTTAGATTCAGAATTCTGCTCAAGTATTTACTAGCTAGTAACCTTGACAAAGTTATTTAAACTTCTGTGTCTAATTTTCTGATGTGCAACATCAATCTAGAGTTCTTTCATAATATGATTATATTATATACTTTGAATCTCCTTCTCCCTTTCTCCACTTACTGTATCCATAACCTATTAACCAATCATTCTCCCAGAAATGTTTATCTCCAATTCTTCCACTCCTTTCCCACCACTCTAGATGGTGCAAGCCACCACCATTTCTTGCTTAAATTACTACAATAGTCTCCTAGCTGGTCTTCCAAATTCCATACCCCTCCCCCTCAAACCCACTGTCCACAGGGCAACCACAGTGATCTTTTTAAGATGTAAATTGGATTATTTAGCTACCTTGTTGTAAAAACACTTCGATGGTGTCAGTACACTGAGAACGAAGACTTAAATCCTTAATGTGGCCTACAGGACCTGGATCCATGTCATTCACCCCACGATTACTATACTCCTATCATATGATTTTCTTCTAGTTCCTCAAAAGTGTCAAGCTCTTTCCCACACCAAAGCTGCTTACAAAGTGTTGCTCTTTCTGCTTGGAATGTTCTTCCCACCCTTTCACACGACCAGCTCATACCCATTCTTCAAGTTTCAGATTAAATGTTACTTCTTCAAAGAGGTGTTCTCTGATCACTTATGAAAAATTCAGTTCTCTTTATTTCACAGGGTTATGAAACATAGAACTGAAAGTAAAGTATTTATACAGAGTTATGACTAAAACTGAGATTATTGGGGAAAGAAATATGCATATGTTCAGTCTCCAAAGACTGCTCTGACATTCAATGCAGTAGAAAAGGCAATGTCAAAGTCAATGGTTTCTGAATTCCGGTCCTAATTCAATGCATCTCAACTTCAGTGTATTACCTGCCACATCTACTTTGTAGAGCCATAATTGAGAAAAAAACCTGAATGCTTTATTTGAGGCTTTCCACTTAGAGAAAAATATAAAATATTTTCAGAAGACCTCTGAACTAAAAGTAATCTGAGGAATTATTTCAAGAGCCTCATTTTCTAGATGTAAAAAACAACTTGCTCAGAGATACACAACTACCTAGGGTCTAAGTCAGGACCAGCAGTCTTAGGAAACTACAGGCATACAGAGTGACCCCATTGGGACAATAATGAAATATGTCCCAATCCAGATTCTTGCCTACTCTACCTTGGGAGTTAGCTACTACAGTAGCATGGTATTTTGCTCAAAGAGTGACTTTAAAAAACTTTACAAACAAAACACAAAATTAATTTCTCTACTTACCAATTAGAAAGAGCCTGCAAAGCTGCATTCATATAACAAGTATTCCCAATATTTTTCAAACCTGTAAGGCCTATTAAGAAAAAATATAAATTAAGTCACCATTCAGTAATACAAAAATGTGTGGGTTTTTACTGAGTACTATGGTTCCCAAACTACATTAAGAGCCATGGAAACACAAAACAGCAATTTGAACAATTCAGAGAGGACACACTTTTGGAAACCTTACAATCATGAAATTTTTAATTGGTGCATTAGTTAGGATTAGTTAGTTCAGCCTCTGAAATTTGCACAGGAAGAGTAGCCTTTCCCCCTGTCCTTTAACTAATAGACTTTTTTTTTGGGTGGCTGGCCAGTACAGGGAGGAGAGACATTCAAAGAGCACTAATTGACTTATATTACAACCAAAGTTTAATTATTATGAGACTAGTTGAATGACAAGGCAAAAAATATTCATTTTAATGTATTATATTGAAAACAGTATTTACTAGGCCAAACCATAGGCAATTGCTGACAACCTACAAAAATGGCAATTTCACATGGCTCAAGCTAATACAATAAAGCCATTGGACAATTTTTATCTCTTCCACATATGTTCAACTTCACTTTCATCAGTTTTCTCCTTTATTAAAAGATGAAATAACAAATACTTCAAAAATAAAATTATAAATGCTATTTAGATTTGGAGCAAAACAAAGGAAATTTAAACTTCTAACAATCTCTTAAGACATGCCTGAATTAACACTTGTTGATAAGCACTTGATAAAATTAATACTATGCGCTAAATTAAAGGGCTAAGGGCAGCACTCCCGCCGCGGGTTCGGATCCTATATAGGGGTGGCCGGTGCGCTCACTGGCTGAGCGCGGTGCAGCCGGTCACAAAAAGGACAAAAAAAAAAAAAAAATTAAAGGGCTAAAACAGGAAAATATATACTATCGCTAATATTATTAAATATGTTAATACCTACCCACCAAGCCCTATCACTGACAGATAAGAATAGAAAAATTGGTTAAGAACCACTGTTCAAACAGATCCCAAAAGGCAAGTTAAGCAAAAAATGTCATAAGTCTCAACTGCAAGAATAATTAGAAACCCAGCTTTGGTAAAGTGATACCAGAAAAACTCAAAGTTTGCTTTTTTTGCAAAAACAATTTTACTAGGCCAAATTTTAGAGTTCTTGTAATTATCTTGAGTACCTTTCACCTTCAGATTTTAAAATCTTCACACTATACAGTTTCCTAAAGAAACAGGCAGAGCCACAGAAAGGAGGAATGTTACACAGGAAAATTATTTTACCTCTTGCCTTAAGTTCATCTTCTTCTTCCACTTCTATATCCAGATCATCAAATACAGCAACCAGAGGAGTTTTTAATGTTGTATTACTAGGTATTTTAAAATCCTTATAACAAAAAAGATAGAACAATTGAACAAATCTTTTCATCCTAACACATCAACTTATCTGTAGACTTCTACACTCTCCTCATACTTATTACTATACTTACTTTCACCCTTTTATTCATATTAAATAGTTCAAAAACATTTAAAATGATAATTAAAATACTCTAATATTAATTTCCAAGAATTGACTTAACTCAGAGGTTGCAACTGGTGATCTGTTGGCCAAATGCTAGTCCACACTGTTAAAACAAAAAAACAAAACTGTGCGCTAAAGTTTTTAAAAATCTGGTGAACACACATAAAAATCAGAATTTGTGAATTCTCTTACAGTATTAGAATATCAAAGTCCACTGAACCCATTCCACAACAATGAGATGGAGAAGGAAACTGAATAGCATGCTTTTAGCATGTACTCTGGTTCTGCAACTTTTTTTTTTTCCCTTGGAGAAAATACCAGAACGACAATGGTTCTCCAACTTATTATAGCCTTATTCTACCACTACATTGCAGGTGGAATAAGCCTATATGCACTTATACCCACTCTATAAATTTACTTCCCTGGCATCTGTAGATACTGGACATTTGAGTAGGTCCCATATTCTCACTTTTTCTTTAAAAAAATGAAATAGTTATTTTTATAAAGATGTTACATGATCGTTACAAAATATTTAAATGCAGACAAGTACAGAAGCTTAAAAAAAATCTTACAATCTAGAAAAAATTTCTTGAAAAATCTTACTAATGACATTTGCACGGTTTCTAATATTTTGCTGTTTTACAAATGATACTGTAGTAAACTGGGTTCAATAGCCAATAAGTTTTGTGCTTCTAAATAAATCTATTAAGAAAAAGTTATTCATGTAATTTCTTCAACAATGAAATCAGGAAGTCACATGAAATTTAGTTCATGCCTTTTATTTGTTAATATTTGTAAGTCACCAGAAAAGTATTTACAAGACAACAGAAAAGTATCAGTGTTCCTATTCTATCAAGTTCATTAGAGTTTGCAATCATAATCTATTCTGGAAGAAATAGCAACAGCTTATTTAACTTACTTTTCTTAATAAGTGGTGCTGGTAATTTTGCCCTTAAAGATTGTTATGAGTTCCTTAAGTGATTAAACTGTTAGTCAAAACATCACACTTTTGTTAATAATGTAAGAGAATTCAAGAAAACTATTGTTTTCGCATTGCCGGGACTTTCAAAAAAGATCAAACATATTTGTGAATGATAAATAGATATCAGTGAAAGAAACAGTAATGATGAAGATTAACTAGAGTCATTCAACTGTGAAACTGGAAATGTAACAAATATTACTCATCCAAAATCTTGCCATCTTAAGTTATATGTGAGGCAAACAAATTTATTATCACAAATGTCTACCATCAGAATGGGATACGATGACACAGCAGAAAAATCTGAGAGCTGGTATCAAAGAACAAGTATAAAAATACAGTGTGATTTCCATAATACACACAAGGGAAAAAACTGGCTGTTAATCAAATCTGATCAAATTCTGATCAAATGATGATCAGGTAAGTTAGAGAAGCCAACTATTCTACTTTCCTCATTTCACTTTTCCTGTTTTTATATGACTGGAAAATTCTGAAAATTAAATGATCAATCTTTACAAGCCTGTACATGTTTTTTAGGTATCTTGATCCTTTAACCAAAGATTGATGCTAAGCTTTAATATATTCTATCTGGTTTTCAATAATGAGTAAAATGCTCACAGCAATACAAATGGGAGCTGAGAAGGCAGGTAATAGGGACAAGGGAGCTAACTTAGTACCTGCCATCCCATATCAAAGAATGGCCTACCACCTTTCCTAGAATCAGATTTGCTAGAAAAAGTTAAATACTACTTCAACCAATTTTTTTTTAAGCTTTTAAAATTCATTAGATGCATTTGCATCTTCGGACAGGTGGGCTTCAATCTCACCTTAATCTATCACTATATGCTATGCAAAAACAAGGAAGAGCACAAGTGCCTCATCTGAGGGGAAAAAAAGGCACATTACAAAAATTATTAAAATATAGGTTTGGCGGAATTTCTTTTTAAATTTCAATTATATGACAAATACAGAAATTATTACCTGAGTGTCTAATATCATAACTAAATGAATTTATATTACCTGGACACTGTTTTCTTGTATTTGGTGAGGTTGTCTTACATGAGGCAATGAAGGCTGAGTTCCTAATTTCCTATCCAAAAACACTTCTTTGCTGCAAGCATAACACCATACTCGAAGAGTGGTAAGGTTCACAGTTAGAAAATGCTTTGTCTCCTGTATAATTTCACAGGAGAGGGAGAAGAGAAACCAACATTAGATATACTTAAAAATACTTATTCGAAAGATCATAGAAGATAAACTTCTGGCCTTTGATGAATAACACTATACTAAAAAGCTAATCTAGAGCACAGAAAAAACATTGTTTAGATAAACTTCTGAAGTGTAATGAGTGGTAACAATATCTACACATACTCTAGAAGTTATTCTATCATCCTTTCCCCCTGCCCCTATTCATTATACAAAGATAAATGCAAGAGTATAGGACTGTTTTGCAGTTAGCAAATAAGTATAAGAAAATAAGTGATAATAGCAAGTAACTGTTCTAAGAAATCACAATGGTAAAAGAATACAAATAACATGAGTGAAAGCACAGCTCAAGCAACAGGGAATATATGATCTTGAATAGATAAAAGTACAGCCTTTCTCAATCAAAGTTCTGCAAGAGAAGGCCTACAGAAAATGATCTGAGTGATTAATTTCTTAATTCTTCCAAGGATCATACATATCAAGTACCATTCTAAATGCACAGAAGAGAAGTAAATTATACACAATGATGCCTTAGAGCCTTGGGTATCTGAGCTTAATTATACTTTTGTAGAACCCTGCTTGAGAACAGTTGGTGCTGCAGAGATTTCAATGTGCATCTTAAGATACAGTTAATTTGAGAAACTTACAGTTTAGAATAGGAGCTCTACCTAATACTATAAAAGAGCCACGCTAGAGTTACATAGGAAGCACCAAACAACCAGTGCAAAGCAGAAAGCGGATTCCAGTTAGAATAATGTGCAGGAAAAGGTTATATGAGATGAGTTAAGAAGTTAGCCAAGTCATGTTATAAACCTAAGTAAGCATCCACTGACTTCAACCTCCATAATCTCCTAATAGTCCAACTATCAGCTCCACACGTCTGGATGTATACTTCTTAAATCAGTACTATATTACAACCTTATTCTAATATTGATCTTCTTAGCAATTTCCATCCCCCCCCGCCACTTTTCACAGACAATATAAGTGAAGTTTTAACTCATAAAAAAGCACAAAATTCTGAATTTACAACTTGAGTTAATAATGTTATGTTTAGGCTCTCTTTTAAAAAAAAATTTTGTATTAAAATTTTTTATATACATACCTGAGAATGTATGGTGCTATGATCTACTTGCGATTCACCACAGCCGACATATGAACACTTATTCTACATGAAAAGGAAATAATTACATGAAAGGAAAATAAGGTATTTTATAACATATAAATTTATAATAGCATTACAATTACATTTAAAATTAAATTTTGATTACACGTTTTAACTCAATGACATTCCATAGTCAGTTAATTAAACCAAAAGGTACAAGGCACAAAATAAAATCAGAACATATGTTTTTAAACTAATTGGGCTGGCTGGTTAGCTCAGCTGGTTTGAACATGGCTTCGTAACACCAAGGTTAAGGGTTTGGTTTCCCATACCAGCTAGCTGCCAAAAACAAATAAACAAAATGAAACTAAAATCTATGTCATCTCCAATAAAAGGTAAGTATAAAATATGTCAGAGCGGTTTACTAAAAGCTCTGCAAAAGCACTATAAGTTAAAATACTACCAGAGTTTGAAGTTTAGTTTTTTACTATCAATAATTATCTTTTAGAAGTATGTTCATTTATGAAATCGTTTTAAGTTTCAAAATTATATAGATCTAAATTTATAATATCAAGCTTTTCAGGAAAAAACATATACATACCTCTAGGCATGCCCAAAGATTTGGTCCTCTGACCTTACAATCCTGACAAGTACCCTATAAAAAGAAATGAAAAACACAACATTTGTTATATTCATACAGCCAAACACATAATATAACAATATAATATAAACACAATATCTGTTACATTGATACAGCCAAGCACATAACATAATGTACATATAATTAGTGAATTGTGTATATATATACACACACACACAAATACAATTATAAATTGGAGGGACTTATAAAGTATTTTAATAATTTATAAAAAACACACATTTGGGAGAAAAGTAAATGATTTTTCAAGGAAGAAAAACCTATATCTTACATGAGATTTTTGTATCAAATCTTCTTTCGTTATTTCACCAACAGAATCCAAATGTGGACAATGATTTCGAAAAGTTGACATTTTCTTAGTGTTTTTTTCTTGTTTCCCCAGGCTTTCCAAATGAGGTAATACCTATATAGGAAAAGTGAGCAAAAAAAAATTAGTTAAAAAATACAAATTAAAAGCAATTAAAAGATAACATAAGAATGATACATGTTTACGAGTTTGCCCTGCAAGGGTATTTTCAAACATACCTAGGGGAGTGTCATAACTGAAGTTAATTTGAACACTGGAAATCTCTCCACCAAGTAAACACTAAAATTTACACCTATAAACAAACGTAACTTTGGTTCTCCATGACTTTTTCTGCTTTCTCCTGCCCCAATTTCACTTTTTATAAATTAAAGAGGAAAATTCAAGTTATTCAATTTTAAAGCTTTTTATCTTTTTTTTTT